CGATCTTCTCTAAGCCTCTGTTCCTGCGTCTGAAAAAGCAAAATACTATCAACCCCCTTACCTCATAGCAACACTATGCAGATGTCAACAGAAGTACTTTGAAAAGGCCTAAGGTAAATATGGCCATGCATACCTAAGGCCAGTGTCACCAGCTAGAATCCTCCTAAAAATAGCAACTCCCTAAGGTCACCCCATTGACCAGGTAAACAAGAAAATGGAGGAAAAGGGGTTAGAGTCTCTTATCTCTGACCTTTTGGCGCTAGAAGTGTGGCTCTGCTACTTCTGGCACCGTGCACAAGGGAAGAAAGGAGAGCAGCAGCCACCCCCCCCACACCCAGTGCCTCCCACGTCCCCCAGCAAGCGTGTTTATCAAGAAAAAGTGCACGGACACAGCAGACATGAGGAGTCTAGGCACACCCAGCGCCTTGCAGCGGGCTAGAAGCTGCTGGGCCCTCCACTGGCCTCTAAGGAAATGAGAAAGGCAGAATCAGTTACAAACCGAGAATAAAGCAGTCTCGCCTGGCCTTCTTACAGAGTAAGCACCAAGCACCCACCCTTCTGTTCCCTGTCCTCTCTGGCCGGCTCTTTCCTCTTAGCACATTTTACCACTTAATATAGGTCTCGAGTGACTGGCTGCGTCTGAACTGGGGTCTGGCCAGGATCCTGCTCAGGTGAAACCTCAGCAGCACAGCAGGTGAAGAGGAGGCCCTCCGTCCTCAAAGCCACCCCACCCCCATCAGGCCCCAGCGCTGCCAGTCCACACCAGAGCAGCCTCTCACTGGGGCACCTCCCACCTCCTTGCCTCCCACCTGCCCCAGGAGCCCCAACTCACCTGGCCTTCGCCAAGCAGTGGCCCTAATTCACTCCCGTTCCCAAGAGTCATTTCAAGTGGGGTTCGACAAACCATCACTGGTCACATACCGTGAACACATACGACTGACTCAGTCAGTCTGGTGGTAAATATTCCAGGCTCTGTAAAGCTACAGCCTCTGCCCCCACCCTGCAGGGAGTGTGATACACAATAGGAGAGTGATCTGGCTGCTTCAGGGAACCTTTACTACAAAAGCAAGTGGTGGGCTACAGATTAGCTTACCATACCCTGATTTACAGAAAAGTGGGCAGAAGTTTTATTTTTTTTCTATGAAAATATTTATTATTTTTTTAAAATAAAATACACATTTTGTAAAGGGACATACACATAAAAAATAAACTGACATAATACCCTATGAACAAAGCTTTGGCCATTTAAGAATTACAAAAAAATTGTAAATATAACTTACAGGAGGGAAAAAGTAATTAACAGTAAAGTAAGTCTGTGATTAGAAAGATTATATTCTGCATGTATTAGGATTTGAGCATTTGTGACACAGCAGGTTGTTAAACTGCTCAGCTATCAGAGAAAGCATCTGGTGGGCAGAAGTTTTAAGCAGCTTCCCTGCGCATTCGCCACCATGTCTTCACACCTTAGGCTGTCACATCCCATCACTACTTCTTGAGTATTCCATTTAATTACTAGGCTGAAATTATTTTCCCAGAATCACGAATACATGTCCTTGAGATCAGCACACTTCACAGCCAGCAGCCCCACTAGCACACGGGTTCTCCAGATGGGGAAGGCTCCAGAGGTCACCTTATAGGGAGCTGTCACTCAGCTCCTGTTCGGACACGTGTCATGACAGAAAAGACTCACTTTCTCCCAGGACAGTTCGGCATGTCTTCGGACAGCCTGCCTAAGTCCCTCCCTGCTTCTCCTTATCACAGATTAGCCACTTGATGACGTGACTTTGTTTACAGTATGACTCTTTAACTACTAGAATGCAAGGTCAGAAGCAACTTTTGTGTTGCTTGTGTTTTCGCTGCTTATCTCCAGCACACTTTGAACAGGGGCAAGGGCGGGGGCAAACAGGCTGCACCCTGGAGACTTTAACTCAGTGGCGGGACAAAGGACAGAGCAGGGAACCTCAGGCTGGCCGGCAGACAGGGTGGACACCGGTCCTGAAGCGCATAGCAGGGCAGAGGCTGAGATGGCAGGGCCCCAGGCCAGCCCAGTGGCCGCCCCGCCCTGGCCACTCCCCCTCCCCACCCCACCCCCGCGTCTCCGCAGCCCACTCGGGTGAACGCCTCTCTCTCACGCCTCACGTGCACCTCAAGCCTCTTCCAGGAAACCGTGCTGGCCACAAACGCACTGCCCTAAACACACAGCTTCTTCTAGCCCTAACCCCGATTCATACTCCTTGCTGGGCCCTGCGCTCCCCAATGTCGCATGGAACATGTCCGCTTTATTTCCTTCCTGGGCACTGAGGACCGTGGTGGGGCTCGGCAGACGCCTTCTAAACCCTTAAATGAATGGAGCAGCAACAGTCTTCGGACTGCTCAGGCCAGACCTCTACGGAACTGTCTGCAGATCTGTGACATTTTGACAAATCTCAGCATCCGTCCATAATAAACATGCAGGAATAGAGGGAACATATTTCTACACAGTGAAGAACACATGACGATGACAAGCTTCAGACTCAATGGTGGAAGGTGGAAGTGTCCTCTCAGACCAGGAACAAGACAAGGGTGCCCACTGGCACCCTCCTAGTCAACACAGGACTGATGTCCCAGGCAGAGCAAACAAGCAAGAGCGTCCAACAAAAGGCATCAGAACTGGAAAGGAAGAAGTAACTCGATGCTATGTTCAGACCCATAGAACCCAGAAGTTGACTCCAGATAAATCAAACATGTCTAAAGGGAAAATAAGAATTTGCCTCTGCCTTCAAGATGTCTACAGCCCATGGCTTTCTGGCCACTCTAGGCCAGGCCGCCTGCACCCCTTTCTCTCATGGACTAGCGACTGCTATAGAAACATCTTTCTTTTAAGATTTATTTATTCAGGCATACAAGAAGAGAGGCAGGGCGGGGGGCAGCTTCACCAGAGACCGAATGGGGAGCAGAACAGGCAGCGGGGAGACAGGAGAGGTCTGCTGTGCCTTATGGGTCAGTTCTCTGGCTGGGGATTGAACTAGTGCTGCAGCAGCTTCAGAGAGCTTCATAGTGCTGTGCTTTATTTAACCTGCTGTGCCACCAGGGAGGGCCCCAAGAAACTTCTTAACTGGCCTCACTGCCTCCTCATGACCCACCCTCCTCCACCTTCCCTGGGAACCCTCACACAGCAGCCAGGACAAGTCTTGAAAACTTCCAGTCAGATCACATGGGTCCTCTGCTCACGATCTTGCAGGGGGATCCATCTCGCTTAGCACACAACCCACTCCTCCCTGGCAGACCCCACATGAGCTGGGCCCCATTACTGCATGGCCCACACCTCCTGTGTGCTGTGCCTGCTGCTTCACTCCAGACACGCCAGCTCCTGTGGGTCTTAAATATGCCAAGTCACATCCCAGCGCTCTGCCGGGAGGACTTCCTCTAGGGATCTCCCTGGCTGGATTCCTCACTTCTGCAGGGCCCTGGCTCTTCAGGTTCTTTCCCTGATCACTACAGAAAGTGACAATTCTTCAGGTCCTCTTCCGGCCCTGCTTTTTTCTTAAGAACACATATCACCCCACCACCCCACCCCACCGTGGACATAATTGGTCTGTTTACCTATTTGTTTATGTTGTATTCATTTATTTCTGTGTCTACCCATTAGATTACAACTCTTGAGTGCATGGACTTCTCTACTGTTTAACGTTGCATACTTAGCTCCAAGAATCCTGAGCCAGCACAGTTATAGCAGCTTAATAATGAGAGCACATTTTAATCAATGCATGCTAGGTCATTTCATCCTCACTGTGAGCTCACAAGCCAATAGCACAGTCCATGATACACCTGCTCTTGGTGGGCAGCTGGACCTTACGCACACAGCCTCCGCGGACCTGAGCCTCGCCCAGCAACATGGGACAATGGTAAATGGTCAGTTTTCATCAGAATATAATTCACAGTAGACAGCAAAACACTTTGTGTCGTAGATATGCATACTAAGTCTTGCCAGTGGAAATGACTCTCCCTCCCCCAAATTCGCCAGGTGCTCCGATAAAGACACGATACGGCACCATTAAAAAGATAAGCAAGCAGGTGAATACCAGCTCCCACGCCACCCACCAAAAATTAATTTACTGACCCATTTCCCTGAGGTGGGAAAACTGCTCCAGGGAAAGGAATGAACACTAACCCCCACCACTGAGCAGGCAGGGTCACTTGCTTCATGCTCCCTCAAAGAGCCCACACCATCCCTGCACCATCCCTGAGCAAGAGGCCTTGCTGAGGCGACTCTCCTCTGTCTGTCACTCCTGGGCCCACAGCCAGTCCCAGACTTTGGCTCTGGCTGCCCTGTTCTTCGCCTCCCCAGAGAGCCTCTCAGTATCATCAACCACCGCTGGCAGCCAAGTCTCCTGCTGCTCCAGGGTCTTCTATTAATATTTCCACTTCTTTGGTCAACAACAACCAATGAGATACTGACAGAAAGAATCCAGAAAAGGCTAAGAAACATTTTTTGATTAAAAAAAAAAAAAGCTATTGTTGATTGAAGGGGTTTTGTTGTTTGGCTTTGCTTTTTTGAAGGGATAAGTCAGTCACGCCTCAACCAGAAAGTCTCCAAAGAGAAATATTACAGTGCTACAAAAATGACCCAGGCTTGAAATCTAGTCTTACTTAGCACTGTGTGAATGTGGGGAAGCTCATTTCCTTGTGGTGAAAATAACTATTCACCTCATGGGGTTGTTGTACATATGAAGAGAGACAACATAGGTGAGGCAGGCTTGTGCCCCACACACAGTGTTCAGCGCACAGCAGCTCCACCGACTGCTTCGGAAGGTGGTCAGCGTCCTTCAGCGAGTCTGACCCTTGAGAGGTTGGCCAGTTGATTAAATAAAAACATATGAAAGATTAAGCATGGTATCTGGTTCATGATAGGTCAGCAACAAATACTGTCTTCCTCCCTCTCCTACAAAGGTAGCAAACTGCAGACTTCAGGAACCACCTGATTCTTCAGTGTGGTCAGACATCACTGGACAGCTACTTACCATCGAGAGACCGAAGCGTTCTGCAATGTCCCCAGCTGCTGCCTGGAGTAATGTCTCGGAAACAGTCACTATCTTTCAGTAGCAGTTGCCTCCCAACCTGGACAGAATATAAACAAGAGGAAGAGATAAGAAAACATCAGCCAAGATGGAGCTGAGCCAAAGGCTTCGGTAGGCAGCGCTGGGCCACAGACAGGCAGGATCTGAGTGCAGATTCTAACTCTGAAGGAAGCCGCTCTCTCCCTCTGGAGGGAGAAGAGCAGAATGATACAGACTTGCTTTCTCCTATCCCGTGATATGGCCTTGTCTTTCTTTAACAAACCTGTATACTCCTCAATAGTCTTTAGATTGGTGACATCACAACTGGTAAGATCTCAGGAACCAACTAGTTAAATGCATTTTAAGGAAGGAAATCCAAGCTTGGAAAGGGGTGAGTCACAGCGTTGTTTGGGGCTAATGCTGGGATCTGCTAAAAATAAGATGTTCTGGAAAATGGGTAAGAAAGAAACCCAAACATCTGTGGAGCCTCTACCGCCCTCTTGGAGAAATTTTACAGAAGACAGTAGCACAGTAATACTGCCTCCTTATAGCGATGTAAATTTCAAGTCAAGTGACATGTACACAGTCATAGAGCTGGCAAGTGAGTGACAGAAAGATTTAAACCGGGTCTAACTACAAAGCCTTCCCCCACACGCATGGCCAGGGCTCCTCCTAGCCTTGATCCTCCAAAGGTCTTTGGTCCTGAACCACCCAACTAGCAACTAAACCTAAAATGGAGCTTCTCCATCTGCAAATGTATCCTCTGACTCTAGGAGTAGCCTACGAGCACTGCAGTGCCTCCTCACCCACCGGACAAAGCTGACGGGAAGTGGGGGGTTGGGTGAGGCGCTGCCCAGGCCATTCAAGGGACAGCAGACAGACAGCATCCCAGCCAGCGGCAGGCCCGAAGCTTCAGCTCATAGCCTGGCACTCAAACTGCCCCTCCGTGCAGGACAGCCCTTCCACGCCCAGACACCACCGTGTGATCCCCTTCCAAAGCTGCTGGTCCCTCTTACTCATCCCACACCTCCACCACTCCTCACGACAGAATCCACCCACACGTGTGTCCTCCTGGAGAGCCAGAGAGCCAGGATTAAGACAGAAATAACAAAATATAGGGTTTTTTTAATAATGGCTTAAAAAAAGATGAGTGCGTAAAACCTCAAGCCAGACACCTCAAGAGAAAAGCTGGAGAAGTAGAAAAACAGAACTGTGCCTGGGGCAGCCCTCAGGGATGGTTGGGGTGGGTCTGAATTTTCCCTCTCCCTAGCTCCAAGCCCCCAAATTCATCAAAGTAGAAGAGGTGCAGTTATTACTCCACCAGCATTAGGACTGGCGCAAAGACTTTCTGGTCTGTCTGCCCCCCCGCCCCCCCACGCCAGTCCCGCCCTTCCTCTGCATTGCCTACAGCCTGTCCTACATCTAACTTCTTAACTCCAAGATATCAGAAATGGCCACATAAATCTGACCTCTCTCCAATAAGGTCTCCGCAGCCCTAATAACTGAAAGTCGCCACCCCAGCACCTCACCTAAAGCCAAGTTTGCTGACCTATCACAAAGGCCCATTGGGTTTTTCTCTACAAACAGGATGGGACGGGCTGCCAAAAATCAAACAAACAGGAACTCCATATGATCCTGGCTTGTTTTCACTGTCCACATTTTCCCCTTATTTCTAAGGAGTGGGAGCAAGCGGCAAATGATTTCTTTACTCCTGAATGCCATTTATTTCTTGCATCCTCGGGGGACTGGCCCTCTGCCCCTAGAAACAAGAGTCTGACTGTAAAAATCCTCAACCCTCAGCGTGCCTGCTCAGAGCTTCCACCCAATACCCCTCAGGCACCAATTCTGCTGCTGCTTCTTGTGGTTACTGTTGGGGGACAGAGAGAAAGAGAGAGAGAGCGCTAGAGTTTAGAAACAGAGATGAAACAGCCTTACACACCATGCAGAGAGAAAATAAGTTCCAGAGGACAGAGGCTTCCCCAAGGTGGTCAAGCACGTTAATGTGCCTGCACCCACATGGAATAATTAACAAGTCTCACTGAGAAAAGCATCAGTCCATCCTCATTTGATTGCTACTAAATTAAAGTGCTCTTAAACAGGCCTCATCTTTATTCCCAAAACATTCTGACAACGGGTAAGAATGCTCGTAGGGAATTCCGTTTCCTAGACAGTCCACCAATAACTATAAACACTGGATAAGTTGGGGGGGGGTGGGAATGGCTATTTGCAGACTTGGGAAAGAAAAGCTGAACACTGGAAGGAGGAAGTGATGGGGTGAACTTCTCAGTTTTGGAGCTTTGACCTGAGAACGCTCCAGCTGAAGTTCAAGTTAAAAGGCAAGTCCTAGGTTTTCTGCACTGAGGAAGCTGAGGCCAGAGCAGAGCAGTAACGGGTACCGGGAAATAGGCTAGAGCAGTCAGCGGAAGCCAGACAGGCGCGGCAGGAAAACAGGCCCGACCCCTCTGCGCTCGGAGCCACGCAGCAGCGCAGCACCCAGCCGAGGACCACAGAACCAGACATCTGAAATGCCACCCAGTGCGGGTGAGCCAGCTTTGAGTCTAACCAAGGTGCTGCCTGCTGAGGGAAAAACTACACCACAGCACAGAAACCAGGATCGGCGCAGACATGTCCAGAACACAAACCTTGTTCCCTGTAGAAGTAGGAAAGCCAGGCAGCTCTCCTGCACGCCTGGGACCACACAGGTGCCTGCTCTTCTTCCTCCTTTTCCTAATAAACCTGTCCTTTTGAAATGTGAAAGAAAAGAACACAAAACCTAGAAAAATTAAACCCATTTGCCAGGGAGAAGACAATCGGCAGCCTTAATGACATAATGCAGGAATTATCAGCTAAAGTTGTTACCACAGCTTTTTCCACTAAACAGAAAATGAAAAAGTTTTAGAGTGGACATTTCAGAACAGAAAGGTTTTTTGAAATTAAAAAAAATCCGCTGAGTGGACTTAACAGAAGGGAGACGACAGAGATGAGTGGGTGAAGCTCGAAAGCAGATCAGGAGAAATGATCCAAACTGAAGGACTCTGGGTCACACGCAGCTGCTCCGAGGACCACCCTCAGCCTTCACCAAATTGTACACGGTGGCTGTTTCCTGTTATCAGAAAAACTGATACCAGAGAATGATCAGGATCGCAGAAAACCCACTCTCTGTTTCTGGGAAGCCAGGCCACCCCTGTTGGCCTCGAGGTCTTCCAGGTGTGAGGAAAGAAGGCGTGAAGGCAGCAAACAGGTGTGGGATGAGATGGTCACAATACCCAAGCCCACACGTCAGCCTAGAGCCCTACTGTGCCCCCTCATCTCTGAGGCGGTGTTCTCAGGCCTCGCAGGAAGAGTCAGGAGGGATTTTAACGTGTCGTTCTGCCCTGTCAGTCTCCTTCCCCAGAACCCAAACCGGTGAACAGGCACTGTCAGAGGGGCGAGCCCCTCAGGGGCCTGGGACTGCAGTGCCAGCCATCGGCACTAGGTGGCACCCGGTTGGCACTAGAGCCAGCCTGCCAAGCAGCTCCCACTCTCAAGGCACCTTATGGTGCAGCTCAGGACACTCAGTAACAGCAGCGAGGAAAAGCAAGCTGCAGAAGACACCCATGTCGTCAGACCCTACTACTGCGCCTGCAAACACAGGACTGCCTCACTGTGGATTTGGGCAGATGCCGAATGGAGAGTCCCGAACCCTCAGTGGGTTTTCACAGGCCTTTAAAGCTCTCAGGGAACCAGGGACACAGAAACACCAGGCAGGGAGGTTGGCCTCAAAGGAGGCAGGCAGAGGGGCCAGGAGGCCCCCACGAAGCTTTGTGTTCTCCCTCTGGCCTTCTCAGCCTCTGCAGCCTCGTGGTATCACCGCAGAGTGGTCCCTCCTGTGGCCACAGACCTGCCTCAGGGTGATGCCACCCTTTTATGGCCCGGGTGTCCATAATTACAGGTGTGGAAGCCCGTACCCACACCCATCGGCCTGGGGCATACACGCTAGTAGCAGGAGGGAAGAAAAAGCCCTAACTTAGTTCAGCCTGTGCTACCTTTTCTCCTCCCTTCCTTCCCACCCTGTCTGCCCACAAGAGAAGAAAATCCAGGGCCAGAGCTCTTGCCTGCCCAGGTGTGAAACAAGGAAGGAAGTCAGGCCCTCTAGGTACAAAGAACACTGGAGGGGAGTCCTGCCAGCAACCTACTGTGCGACCTCAGACAAGCTAAACAAAAAGGTCAGACAAAATGTTATCTAAGGTCAAGATGTCCTTATCTGCTCTTCACCTGCCCTTGGAGAAACTACGTAAGACAGGCCCCAAAGGCAGCAGTGGGGGCCAGCCCACGCATCTGATTCATGTCTCAGGACTACACCATTATTCAAAGTTTTCATAGAATGGGTTTTTTAAATTTTGTCATCAATTCTTACATTTTTAATAATAGAGCTTTCAAGGCCTATTGATGATGAGAGGTTGCTAGAATAATGAATTTCTGTTAATTCTCCCAGGATCACGTTTTTTTATCTCTTGGAATGAGGAAGTAGATACTCTAATCCCAGTGGCAGATGAGCAAACAGACTAAGACACTTGGGACCTATTAAGATGCTGGTCAGAGAAAGAATGAGAATCCAATAATCCCATCTCGGAGGGACTGGTTTTACTTTTTTTTTGCCTTACCAAAAAACCTTTAACAAAGCGCTGAGAGCATAAACAAGATCTGGAATTGGGAAGAAAGGGTTTAAGAACTTTGAAGCACTCTGGAAGCACTCATTAATAAGCAACTGCTGAGACCTGCTGGCGATTAGGGTGTCTATTTAAAAGCATGTCCTCAAGGACCACCACCTGGCTCTGCCGCTTCCCCTGTGACAAGCACTCTGTGACTGAGACCGGGCTTCCTTGCAATTAGCCCACGTCTGGTGAGCAGTTGAACCACATCTCTGACACTGTCAGCCGTTCACCAGCTTCACAAAAGCTGGTTGAGAAGAGCCACCAGCTCCCTTCACCTCCAGGAGTGTGATCAGTGTCAGGGACTGCATGGAGAAAGCCATAAATACCAAGTCACAGCAGCTACCCTAAGAGGAAGGAAGTGCTTTCATTATCTCATTTATTACCTAACATAATCCGGTAAATACCACCATGTTTATTTTACAGATGAGCAAGAAATAAAGAAGTCACATAATTGGTAATAGTTGGTGGTGGTTTGCTCAATCCTCTGAAGCTTCACTCATTTATTCAAGTAGTGGCTGCTGCACCAAGCGCTGCACACGGGGGAGGAAAGTGACCCACCGGGCCTGTCCTCGTGCAGCTACTGGGTAGTGCGACAGAAGAATAGGACTGTAAGAATCAACTATCAAATATAAGCTGGAGGAAACACAAGTTATGAAATTGACACACCTGGGGGGCCCAGGAAGGCTCCCCCATGGTGAGAAGGTTCCAAGTAGGACCCAGGGAAGCTGAGGAAGCTCATCTGTGTGATCATACGGGAGAACGAGCTTACAGGCAGGAGGGAGCTGGAGGGGTGGCCAGCTAAGGATCCACGCCTTCGAACTACAGAAGTCAGGCAAGTGTACAGTGGGGTTAGCGGTGCACATCTCAAAGGTGTGCTTCAGGGTGAACGCTGGCTTCAGTCTGACAGGCTGAAAGAGGGGAGAGGTTGCCAGAGGCCGGTAAGGAGGCGGACCTGTGTGTCCAGGGAGGAGGGAAATGACAGCGTGAGCGAGTGTGCTAAGTACCGGACACCGTCCTAGCGTGACTCCTAAAACAGTCTCTGAAGCACACACTCTTCCTCCACCCCGCGCCTTAGGAACGAGGAGAGTGGTTAATTCATTTATTAGAATTAGATGACCCTGTTGTGCCAGCAAGCACAGGGCAGCTTCTTTATGGATGCAGGTGATCAACTAACGAGAGTCCCAGAGCGCTCAGTGGCCTTTTCAGACTTTGGCGATCTTTCTACGCTAACTGTGGTAGAGCAAGCCCACAGGCTGGCAAGGGGGGGGGGGGGGGGAGGAGGGTGCCGCAGGCCTCTCAGCCCCCCATCACATCTTTACGTTCACTTTGGGCTTTCCGGCATCATCTATGGTGCTGCCTCGCTGCGCTGCAGTTACTCAACCTCTCCTAGACCTTCGGCTAAACCCATCTGTGTGGAGCCGCCCTGACAGCTCCGCCTCCAGGCTCAGGTGTGCTCCCTCACGCCCACCCACCCACCCATATTCCAGGTGTCCACACGCTTTCCAGCCCCTTCTGCATTCAAGGCCACAGGTGATAGCCAGAGGCCAGCAGGTTAAAAGGCTGGCTAATTCAGTTACCTGCACACCCTCTTCCATGTAAAGCTTCAAACCAGTTAAAACACAAGCCTGAACCAAAGTAGAGAAAATTTAAACTCATCACCACGAATTTCAAGCTGGCCCCCACCACGGCCAGAATCCCCCTCTCTCCAGGGCAGACCAGTCTCCAAAAGGACTCTCCCAGTTTTCTCTCAGTGGCCTCCAGCCTGTCAGCTCATGACTATGTCATCAAGAAACACCACAGGACCTCTTCCTAATAAGCCCACAACTCTGATGCCGTTTCCCTGCAGTCAGAATCAAGAGTCTGTGTCGGTGTAGGACACTCCCATTATGCACCCAGCGCCCTGTCTCACATGCGGTTACGGATTCCCTCTCTCACCACTCTTCCCTCTGCCCCTTAGCTCGCACCATGCTCGGGCACAGCGCTCCTCAGAGTGGGCTCCACACACTCTCTGCTTATCACAGACATCAAGGACCGACATTCAGGGGTCTGCACCGGTGACGAACCACACGGTGACCATGGGGGAGAAAGTCGTCTCCGCCACACACAGCAGGACTGCATAGAAGGTGCCTCAGCACACCCGAGAAGCCCTCCTCCTGCACAGAGCTTCTCCGACTAGTCAGTGGGGACCCACTAAAATGAAGAGTCTGCTTCAGTAGGTCTGGGCTGGGGCCTGAGATTCTGTATTTGAGATTCTGTATTTCTAACAGGTTCCCAGGTTGATCCAGAGATATATCTAGAAATTTCCTACCTTCAAAAACCAGACACACTAAACTCTCTCTTGCTCTCACACCTCCTTTCCAGCTACTCCAGTTCGGAAACGCTGCTTCTCCCCACAGCTACTCCTCTTGAAAGAGTCGTCTGTTTCCTTCATTCCCTGGCCCCTGTTCACCTCACTCCAACCAGGCTTCAACCCTCTACACTCCACTAAAACCGTTTACCAGTGTCAAAGGCCTCAATATGCCAGTCTCTCATTTAGCACAAATGCCTGCTCTTTCTCCACTGAAACACTTTTCCTCCTTGGTTACAGAATATCACTCTTCCTGGCTTTCCCACCTATGTAGAGTCTTGACCAGCAAAGCAGCTCTCACCGTGGAACACAGCATGCTGGTTTACACTCACTTTGACACTTAGTCCCAGCTGGTATCATCTAGTATTTCCTGACTACTTCCTGCTGGTTTCTTAACCTCCACCCTACCCACCACCTCTGTCTAGCTCCTCACTGTAGCCCAGAGCCCAGAATAGAGCCCAGGAATAGCCAGAGGAGCAGTTTGGACTGGAAACATTTACAAATCACATGCAGAGAAGTATAACTGCTAAAGCCTATGGAGTAGGGGAGGCGGCCTGGGAGAGTGGGACACTTCATGGACACTTCATAGCTGTACCATGGAGGATGAGCCTGCAAACAACAGAGAAATAGGAGTTGGGATGAGTTATGTCACTAGAACTAAGAAAAGAGTTTCCAGAAGAAAGGAGTGGTCAACAGTGTCAGCTTTGTTGATAAAACTAGACAAAATGTCCGCTGAATTGAGCTTCAAGGAGGACATGAGAGATCTTAGTACGAGTAATCCCCCTGTAGGGGAAGCCAGAGCGGAGCAGGATGAGTGTGTGGGGTAAGGCTGTGAATAGACAGCTTTTTAGAAAAGCTGGACTAGTTGAAAGTGAGAGTGACAGATTTAAGAAATGTAAGGTTGAAGCAATGTAGTTTGTCAGCTTTTATGTGACCGGAGAACAATCCCAGCTGCCACATGAACCAGCTGTAATCCACACACAAGTCTCAAAAACCTCTGACCCTCACTTTGCTTGGATAGATTCCTAGATGCCCAGAGTATCAACCTGGAAGTTTTGTGTTTAATACACAACACACATCTCATTCCCCATATTACCAAGGGAGATAAAAATGTCCTTCTACACCTCTTCCTTGGTGCAGCCAGGGGAAGAATGTCCCACCATACACACCTGGGGTCTGGCTGAAAGGTTTTCTGCTGCCATTCCAATTTCCTGGGGACACAGGGGTCGGTGTTATTTCCACAGAAAGGTGTTTTGTTTTGTTTTCCCCCTTTTTACAGCCTTTGTCTGCATTCCACTTTCCCTTCTCCACAGGCAACCTACTACAATGAAAGAGACATGTGATCTTAGAAGTCAGGGAATCTGATTTCCACTAAACTTTAGCATGTATCAATTTAGGTGATTAAACTTCACAATCTCCTGTTTTTTCAAGTGTACACAGAGAGCACAGTGTCTAAACCTCACAGGGCTACTACAAGGATTATATGAAAACACACACTAAGTGCCTAAGCATCTAAGACCTGGCATAAGACATATTCCATAAACATTAATTCAGTTTTCTTCTCATCACCATTCTAAGTCTTACAACATCTACAATATGTGTATATATGCCAAAACAAGTGTATATATATGTCTCTAAATTAAAACATATATAAAAATATATACTTGTTATATATATATTTATAGTTGTTTTAATTTAGATTCTCTTTTCCCTACATGCACCAGAAAGTCCCTGAGAAAGGAACCATGAGAAATTAACCTCCCAGTTCCAGAAAAGTACTAACAGAGATGGATGAGGTCAGTGGCATAAACAGTCAGCAACTGAACTAGGGAGGTTCCGTCAGAAGAAAGAACCCAGAGCCCAGCACCTGCCAGGTACTCTGCACCACCCCACTCCCCTCCCAGCTCCTTCTTGTAGCTATGACTGTGTCTCTGTTGCTGGTTCTTTCTTTCAGTGGGTCGTGCTTGTCAGCAAGCCTCACGTCAATGTCTTCAGTATTAAAAACAAAACAGAACAGCACTTACTGATGGTGCAAATGGCAATGAATCCTGTTTCATCTTGCCAATTTACTAGGTCTGTGATCCTTATAGAATAGTTACAATTTTCCACATTTTAAAAACAGAAATGACACCATGCCTTGACTACAAGGTTTAAGAGGATCAAAAGAAATGACAGATAAGAACATACTTTGCATACTATAAACAGTCCTTTTATGTCACAGGCACATAGCAGTCAGAGTCTGCCTCTGGCCAGTTCAGGTGCTAAGCTTCACTGAGAAAGTCTCGTGCTGGCAAGGACCCTATTCTATGCCTAGTTCCAACTCAGATCTCTGGCAGTGGAAAAATTCATATCCTCTTTCTAATTTCACAGGATTCCCTTTTCTTAGCTGACCCAGCTGACCCTTCTCTTCTCTGACTAAATGGCTCCATGTCCCCAGAACGGTGCGATCCCCCTAGACAGAATGACCTTTACAGAGCTTGGGTACATGGAAGTTCATTATCAAGTTTCCTTTTGTATAGGTTTAAAATGTTCTACATAACTAGAAGCTTAAGGGGTGAGGAGTGGGCAAAAGCCAAGAGTCTGGAGGCCCTTCTACTCCTGACAATCTTTGACCCCAGAGAAACTCCAAGTTTCCATTGTAACAACTAAACCTCTCCCCGCTTCCTGAACAGGAGATACCATTTCTGTCCATGCCAGTGACCAACCACTTTTCCCCAAAACTTTGTGATCACTTCCATTGCTGAGCTACTTAAAAAACGATTATTTGGACAATTTAGCTCTAGTAGGTAAAGTGACGTGGTAGCTAACTGCCAGAAGGTGCTTGGCTGGGGCTAGGAGGACCTCCCAGAACCTCCTAATGTATGAGATGGGGGGGGGGGGGGCGGCTCCCAGGCAGTCTGGGTACCGAGGCTGGGAGACACAAAAGTATTCTAATCTTTCCTCCCCATGCTGTGTACAGACTTCCTAATCCCTTAAAGTTTTCTTTCATTAAGTCTCAATCACTCGATGACCTATTTTCCAATTTGTTCAGCCAAGTAAAAAAAAATCTCCTGATCTATAGTTTTATAAGGAAAGAATTTAAACAAGGGGAAAAAATCTTATCTGCTTTTTCTTATCAGAGTCGCTGACTCAGGTTAAAGAACCAATCTTTGAAGTTCCTACTCAACAAGAATGTTCACACAACAAAACAAAACTGAGACAGACCAACAGAAATTGGCGCATCCCACCCCGCACATCCAAGAAACAGACCCTCCGGACCCTCCACTCCACCCACGGTGGAGGAACATCCAGACAGGATGCTGCACCAAACAAGCCAGACTCTAAAGAACACACCGCCTGATTCTATTTCTATGAAATTCAAGAATAAACAAAACATCAATGAACATAAACCAGAATAAGGGGTTCCTTGGGCGGCCAGTAGTGATGAGAAGCAGCAGGAAGTCATCGGTAGTTCTGGAAATGGTCTGTCTTGAGCTGATGTCAGCAGTTTTTACATGACTATAGATAAAATTCATTGATTACTGAAAACCTTGCGTATTTTACTGTGGCTATATCTAAATAATGCACAAACTGAAATCAGGTATCAATATTTTCTAAAAGCTCTGGATGGAATTCTAATGTGTAGCCAACGCTGAAACCACCCTGCACCTCCACAAGTGCAAACCTAGCCCTCCAGGTCTACTTCCACTGCAACAGGAGGCCAGACAGTGAAAACAAAAGCTTGGGCCCTCCTTGGTGGCACAGGGGTTGAAGTCTCAGCATTCTCAAGCTATCTCCAGCCACTGTGGCTAGAGTTTGATTCCCGGCCAGGAAGCTGACCCACATGGCGCAGTAGACCTCCCCAGTCTCACCCGCTGCTCCTCGCAGCAGTGTATTTCAGTGGGTCTGCCCGTTCTGCTCCCACTGTTCCTGGTGAATCCTCTCACCCACCCCCACACCTCTGGCCTGCACCCAATTCTTCTATGCATAAGTAAATAAATCCTTAAAAAAAAAAAAAAGAACAAAAGCTTAAAAAATGGAGAGAAGGGACACAAGTATCTCTTTGAAAAGAGTAAGGATCTTGGGCAAGGGAAGAAAAGAAAGTCAAGGCCGACACTAATGGAGCTAAGCCTAAGAATAGCTGGGAAGAGACGGGAACAGAACTCAGGTTTTAGTGCTAGCCTCATTACTGACTAACTGCAGACCTGACCTTAGCAAACTACTTCATTTCTCCTGCACCTAAGATCTCTTAACAGCTTTTAAACAAAGTCTGGAGAGGACGTTGAGAGGAATCAAGTAGGGACAGGCCCTTTTGAAAGACCGTAGATTTACCTCTAGCATAGCACTTACATTCTGTATAATTATCTACTTGTTTATCTCCCCTACCAAACCTTGAGCCCATAAAAGGGCAGGATTATATACTGCACCTCGGAACATGGCACATGCATAGAATTTGGAACATAGCAAGTAGTTCAGCAAACATTCGGTGGCTAAAGAACTGAAATCATGAGTGCCTATGTTTACACACACAGATGTCCTCAGCAGACTTAGAAGAACGATTTCATGTGCCACATGGACCCTCCTTTTACATAGCATTGGATATTATTTTCCTTACTGACAACAAAAGCAAGCCGAGAAGCTGGAGGTCCAAACGCATGAGGAAGGCTCCCCTGAGACAGCTCATCAGAAGCCTCAGATCCATGACTCCTATGCCCTAAACAATGTACCTCAAAATGATATTCGATGCATGTACATTATTTTATAGTTCAAAGTGTTTCCACTCCTATACTGTTGTTAATCCTCACAGCAACTCTGTGAGGTACTATCAAACCCATTTAGACATGAGGAAGCTGAGGTTCATATTTTAAGTAATTTGCTCGCATGAGGCACATGGAAGGCACCTAACTGAGGGCTTCCACATGGATCCTTTCTGCTGTGCCCGATGAAACAAGCACATCACCACCTCCACGGAGCTGCCTCCACAGGGATGGACCAGTGGTGACTGCTGTGCTGGGCAGACTACCTCTTACGTTCCTCTTGTCGCCATGAAAATCAATTACACAAATTATTTTTATTGTGTTTGAAGCAAAAAGGCAAGCCAAAGCCAGCCCAGGAAGAAAAATCCACAGACTGCAAACAGCCACATAAAGTTGCTGACTAACATCCTGTGTATAAAGCTAGAGAAATAAGAACAAAACTTGCTCCAGCAGGGAGCAGTAAACCCCACTGACCAAACAGCTCTCAGCCTTCAGAGAGCTCAGGGGCACAGTTGATTCCATTTGTATAAATTTCCATGTTTTCTTCAATAACCTGTACTGTCTATTTGTAACAGGGTGGTGGTCCCCGTGCGTAGGAAAGGTTCAGAAACAGCTAGACAAATCAGGGACTTTGTTACATACTAATTGTATTAAAGTTCCTTTCCATTAAAAGTCTGATATATTTTATCTAGATGCGGTGGATGGCAGTAACTATTTAGAGCGTGCAGGTTTCGGTGCAGGTTTCGGTGGTCTGTGGAGTGCGTTTCTCCCTGACCTGTAACATACTGTTTCCTCCACACCATTATCAATTCATCATGGACAAACAACACACCATCCAGCTAGGAAGCTTCACCGCCTGTAAAAAAAACACCCATGCCTGCTCCAAAACCAGACCACTACACATTCTTTTCTGACCTAGTATTTTATATAAACTATCTTCCCCAAATGAAAAATTAAAATACCTGAATAAACAAGTTGGCATTCAAGAGAGTAACATATAAAATCTAAAGCTCTGAGAAAGAAATACCAAAGGCCACTTCACACCTTCTGTGAACCCAGACGCAGGCCTGAGTGACTACTAGAGAAAAGTGGGCTGGATGAATGATGAAAGTCAATGTAGGTGCACTAAAATCCTCTGAAAGCAGAGTAAAATAACCAAGAAAGGTGGGTAAAAAATACTAATTCCACCCAAAGTGATACTTGGGGTCCCACAGGAACACTGGGTTCAAGCACCCTGCTACACTCCCACAGGTTACCCGCTAGGCAGCTCCACCAGCAGCAGCTCCCACCCCCACCACTGGGCTCTCGCTACCAAGGCCCTGAGGCCAGTGCCAACAGGGGTTAAGCCACGTGGCGATTAAAGTTAGGAGGGACCCAGCAGGCCACCTGACACTTTTCTGGCACAGCCTAAGCCGATTAGTGTAGGTCACAAACACAACTGCAAGATTCCACAACGCTGATGAAACTTCTGAAACTTCGCTTTTTCTGTAGACTAAAAATAACCTTATTTATCAAATCGGGAGCATTCCTCACGTATTTCTGTGCTGTCAGCAGCTCAATGTTCCATTTCCTCAAACCCTTCATC